CGAGCCGATGTTTGGACCCGTCGGTACCGACTTGGACAACTTTCCGGTTCATGTTCTACTTCGGCAGCTGATACAGTTTAGGGCTAAATGGGAATGATTGCAGGAAAGAAAAAAGGAATGCCCACAGTCTAGGTATGCACCCAGCTGAGCGGTTAATGGGATGAGGCAATGCTGTATCCTAGCCGGCTTCCCAATTATGGAGGATTCGTATATACCCGGCAGGGTGCTAGAGAAGTCTGTGAAGAAGATGTGAGAATAAGTAACCTAGGGTATCCTACGGGGAATTCCTGTACATGGTCCCAGGTTGCTAGTCCTATGCATTGTCGGGAAATATACCCGACCATACCTCTTCCAGATGATGCTTAAAAGCCCCAAGGCTACGAGCAGCAGCCACTTGCTATGGTCAGGTCTTGAAGTCTTGAAGTATTTCACGGGTTCGAGGCTAAGCTCAATGGCCCCGGATCTTGGACAGGTCAGGTTTCTAGGCCGAAAACAGGCTTTTGCCGAACGTGCGTCCAGGTTCACTCACCAGTATGATTTGGGACTTCCTCTAGTGCTACGATGTGAAAATTACTTCGGTGGATTATGATGGTTAGTTTACATTCTCTAGTTTCGGCCAGCTACCCCAGCGAGCAACAATGCCAGGGGTTCATTTTAGGTGATACTGTTTAGCTTTATATCAAAAAAGGTTTACAGAGGGAGGGGCGGTAGGAATAAGAACTAGTAGTACCATTGTGGGGTCACACATTCGTACTCAAATTAGATACCGGCACAGTCAGCGCTGGCTAGCAAGGGAAGCATCGTGTCACCTTTTGTGCGCTGTTTGTTTCTTTTATGCATTTGTGGGCTGCAATGGTGAGTGGTTTGCTAAGATAAAATCGGGTGAAAGCTGCATGGTAAACGATGTGTGAGACTGTGTGGACCTTTCGTGCCTGGTATGCAGTAGGCCTTTTATTTTTTATTTTTATTATTGTTTTTTGTTTTTTCTCTTCTTTTCTCTTGTTTATTTATTGTTGTATTTTATTTATGGTTTTTTTATTCAGCTCTTCTTTGGCCTTTTCAGACAACCCACCAAGGATATATTTGGTGAAAACTGTTGTTGTGATAACCTCACTTTGCTCATCACATGAATTTCAATTGGAGACCAACAAGAGTACACCACTATGGCGTCCCACGTTTATGCTGGCTCCTTACGGTCTGGGCATGGTGGCCACTTTTTTATGCATAGACGCTGACCGTTAAATTTGAGTCCAATAGAAGAGCACCGCTATGGCGTCCCGCATTTATGCTGGCTCTTGCGGTTCGGGCATAGTGACTACTCTTTTTAGACCGCGTGATGTTTAGCTGAGGAGAATCATACAGTTCTCTTTTTTGTCCTTGTGGTTACCTTAATGCTTCTATTATGATTTCGTTCTTGGCACGGCAACGAAAAGTGTCCAGTTTGGTATGCCTGTGAGCAACGTTTTAAGCTAAAATGGTTCTTTGGTGTTTGTATTGTATTGTATTGTTATAACTTTTGCAAGCACGAGCTCACATTTCAGTTAAAAAGCATACACGCTAACCGTCACAATGTACATAATCAAAGGGGAGAAAAGTTTTTGCAGGCATGCAGACATTCATAATCCAAGGTTAAGACAAAGTTCACTCATTATTTGCTCTTTGTTTGTGAGTAGACGGGCAAGATACGATATGGGTGAATTGCGGTAAGTATTAATTCGAGATGAAATTTGACGGAATTGGGAGCGTGTTGAATGATGGGAATGACAGTGTCATTTCTGCATGCAATGGGTGGTCCGGATCTGTGAGGACCCTCTCGGCAAATTTCACACAGAAAGTTACGTGATACTCGGAAAGCCTTGCAGCTAATTTATTCACAGGAATGGAAGAGACACGACTAATAATGGTTAAACCGCGTCGTAAGAATTGAAGTCCTGTTTGAGTAAACCAGGAAAAATAACCGGGGAACAGTAGAGTAAGATGGGG